TGCAATACAACATTTTGAGTTGCTTGCAATTTATCTTCTGGTTTATCTGTAAAAAGCAATCAAGAATACGCACTTGAAAGAAAATCAATGTGTAGCTGCAGGTGCAGAAATCTTCCAACAGGCTCTTAAAAGTAGCAAATAGCAAACCATTCATTGGATGGACATTCAACATGAAAGAATCCATGGGAATAACTATCTAAAGGTATATAGGCTGTTCACTTAGAAAGTGAACGCTCACACAGCTTAGTAAATAAGTTGAAACTAAGTTCATTATTCATTATTATTGTTTGATATGGGCAAACTATTGTATGTCTAGAGCAGTGTTTTTCAACCTTTTTTGTGCAAAGGCACACTTTTTTCATGAAAAAAATCACGAGGCACACCACCATTAGAAAATGTTAAAAAAATTAAACTTTAGTGCACACTCTTCATACATTTAAGTGCTGGCCAAGGCCTGAGTATTTAAGCACCACACCCCTGGGTTGAAAGTGTAAAGTGTATACATATCTCAAATAAAAAGACATTTTTATTCAGAATTGTCTTTTGGCACCATTAAAGCCCCACTTTTTTTCTTTTTCTTTACACTAGTCAAGTGCACACTGCTGGTGTGTCATGGAAAAGAACCCCCTCACCTTCCCAGTTGCTAGGAGCGTTACAAGACCTGCAGAAAGGGGGGTCCTCTGAGGGATGCTGGCAGAATTGCCTCTATCAATGCTCCGGCTCTGTAACGGCTCAGAGCTCCTGTCACGTCACCAGCTCTTCCCCCCGAGCTGGAGACGTGACAGAACCTTTCATCGCTCCACCCCTCCGGCTCTGTCACGGCTTCATCTTTTCTCCACACCGTCACTACTCCACGCCCCCCTGCTCTGTCACGCGGCTGCATCACCGCTCTATACCCGGTCACCGCCGCTCCACGGCCCCAGCTATGTCATCGCGGCTGCTCCACGCTCCCAGCTCTCGTCGCGGCTCCATTGCCGACCCGCGTCCCCTGCTCTCGCACCGGTATGATTGGTCTATTTGTGAGCGAGAGCCGCGGCACGCCAGACAATATCTCACGACACACTAGTGTGCCGCGGCACAGTGGTTGAAAAACGCTGGTCTAGAGCACAAGACCACCAGGCAAATGGTCCAATGAGCTATGGATTAACTCGGTTTTTCATGGTCAGGCTATAGCTACCCATAGGCCCCATGAATGCAACTGATGTTACTCTTTAAGGATGATGTGCAACAATTTGGCCATGTAGAGGTTCAGTAACAATTTCGTCCAATCATGTTGGAAATTTTTTTGCAGCCAATAGCCACCTTTTCAGTGGTAACAAGAACACAATGTTTCACTGTGCATGCATGACTAACATCCATCAACCTAATCAGAAACAAAGTCATGCTAGATACCAGTGGCACACAACTTATCTGAGGACTGGGAGATGCTTTGCCACCCAACATGTTCTGTGATTATGTCTGCTCATGTAAGACCACTCCAAAAAAGGGCTTGCCAAATCCCAGGAGCCAGGTAGCCAGTGCTTCTTAATAATTACAGCTGGCTCCCAACTTTAGAGGTTTTCTATAGCTGTTGTCAATGGAATTGGTTCCTAAACAAATCTTGCTGGCTTCTGGATTGGACAGACTGGCTCCTTAATTCCATATTAATTTGTCCACCGCTGTGTAAAAGGTTACATTAATTTGAGAAGACCTAGTATCTTAACATCTTACTGTGTTTATGTAAATCTTTACTCTCCAGTACATGGGTATATCTCTGGCCAAAAAGTCAATACAAACATCTGATCAGCACTCAACACATTTCCTGGTGTAGTCTACCTATTGAATGATGATTTAGAATAAAATGTTGTGTTCAGTGGAACCTTAAAGCTAATCTCATGCTGGTCAAACATCCATAAGCGTTTAAATTGACACTAAACTCACAAGCTAAATCTTAAAATTGCATTCAAGTACCCTAACTATTAACATAAATGAAGGTTATTTGTGCATCACTTGGATGTAGATCCTCAAATCATCTCTGAATTGGTGCTAACACCGTCCTTCCTCCTGGAGGGTGGCTACTTTTGTTCCTCATGGTCTCTGTGTGTGTTGTAAAGTAGCCACCGCTCCAAGCTCGCTTCTTTGATGGACTACAATCCTCACATTTAGTTTACTAATTTGTATTGAGGTTGTAATCCATCGCGTGAGTGAGACTGGAGCGGTGGCTACTTTACACACACACAGGGACCATGGGGAACAAAAGTAGCCATCCTCCAAAAGGAAGGACAGTGTCAGCACCAATTCAGAGATTATTTAAAACTCTACTGTTGAGTGTTGCACAAATAAGATACCGTACATTTTTGTTAATAGTTAAGGTACTTGAATGCATTTTTAAGATTCAGCTCTGGAGTTTAGTGTCCCTTTAAGCAATGTTGACAACAGTTTGATAGCAACAACAACTGAACAAACTGCTGTAGCCTACCAGCAGCAGTTTTCAGTGTTTCATCAGAAGTACTTTATGGTGAATTGCATTGATGTTTGGTAATTTCAGTGATTAAAAGCTGGCTGAAACTGGCTGCAAACTGCTGTGTGTCTATGGCCAGCATTAGAACACAAACTGGTCACATAGAAATGACAGATCATGAAGTACACAGCACGAATTCTGCTGGGGTAAAAAATGACCTGTGCTATGCAGCTTGCATCTGTGATACTCCTCGTATCTTTCCAGCATGTCAGAACTGCTCCAGGATGCTTCCCTGTGGCATTTAGAGGCCTAACCTGTTGAGCAATGCAGCCTTTCAGCTGTTCTGTACCACACACGCAAGCCAGTCTCCTCCTCCTGCAATTTACTTCCACAGACTTATATCAAGGTAGGGTAGATAAGGTAGTCTAAAACGAGCTGAGCACAGGAAGGCTTCCCTTAGCACAAAGCTGACTTTTCCGCAGTGATCTATGGAGGGATGTACCGGCACTTATAATTTATGATGGTATGAGTGATATGTAACCGCACTGTTCTCAGACAATCCTGTGTTTTTCTATACTATCAATGTATCCATCTCTAAGAGTACTATGCAAACACATAACCGCCTTTGAAGTGGGAAAGCATTAGAGACATTGCTTTGTCTGTCACAGTCATTTATTAGTGATAATAGACAGATAAGGTAAAGTATAGGAAGTGATTTTGCCTGCAGACAGCTTGTAATAGGGGAATCATTTAGCCACCATACAGGATGACATTGAGGCAGCAGAGGAATGAACTAAAAGTTACAGATATAACATACATAGAGGTCTCATGGGTCATCTCTGCTTAGATCACATAGATGCCCTGATCTTCTCTTTGTCCCAGGGATCACAAGACAAAATATGCACATAGAAAGGCAGAGGAACAGATAGAGCCAGGCACACATTGTGCACCATGCCCTAGGGTCATGGATTTCTACACCTTCCCAGGGTAAGGATTTTAAAAAGTGCAAGTTACTTTAGGGCAGCAATACATCATATGGCACCTGGAAGAAAGCTGGACTTTCACAGGAAACAGGGTCAGGGGACAGCTCCAAATCTATGAGCCAGCTATAGCAGTGAATGGTAACTCTGGTGAGACCTGTCAGCATGTGGTCCTAAAAAGACAAAAATAGCCTGATCTATAGAAACAATGGCTTAAAATAAAAACAAAATAAAAAGAAACAAGCACCGGCCAATTGGGCCATTTCCCCCTAAATTGCCAGAAATAGCCTTTGCCTGTTCTTGTCATGGTGAGGTCACAATCCACTATTTTTGAATCAGCCAGGGTTTGAGTTACAAGGTTTATAAATAAAAGGAAAAGAGAGTCTGCTGAAAGCTCCCAGCTCCTGCCCTGCTTCGCATGCAACTATAGGAAGGAAAGGTGAGTGTAAAAGAAGTGAGCACTTACCGCAGACTCTGAATGGTGCACCCAATGCACCAGCAGCAAAGCCAGGACACCGACACCGGGCAAACTCTGCAAATGTCCCAACCTCATTCTTCAAAAAAAATAAAGGGCTTTAAAACCGGCTTCAGCTACAAGACACAGACTGAGGAGCTGACATATTATGCTGAGTGCCAAGGGAGAGGAGAAGATGCAGCGAAGAGCCAGCGAAAGGGGGCCAGCCGGGAGTGGGGATACTTCTACCCTGACTGCAAAGACCTGAGAACTTTCCGCACTCAACCTACGAGAGAGAGAGACGGATCACTCAGTTATCCCTCCGCCGCCACTTCTCCCCCCCCAGCCTAATGGAATAATCTCTTCACTGATAGAGCTGGCCTCTCTGTCTTTCCTTTTCTCAAAATTAATGAAGATTTTTTTTTTTGCGCTGCCGATAGTGACCCCCTCCTCCAGCAACTCCCCCCCCACCCCAACACCCACTCCCGCCCCCCCGCCTAATAAAGAAACTCCATGGCATCCCAGGAACTTATTTGTCTGCGGATGAACCTGGCTCGCGTTACCCTGTAATTGAAAACTAATATTTGTCCTTTACACAGCAATTAAGACCCTTCTGACGAATAAATAACGTCCAGATCCCCGTGTCATCACAGGTCAGACTTGCCCATAGACTTTAAGAGTGTCCCCCAGTTCTCCTATTGAATTGCCTGCCTGTTATAGAACTATAGCATATCCAGGAGCAAATCTGGGAGCTAATACAAGTCAGGGAAATGGACACTTATATTGTACACCCGGCTAGCCATTTGTTTCTAAGATGCATAACTTTTTTTTTGTGGTGATGAGTAACTAGGTGCATGATTCCCTAATGACACAGACCACAAAGCTTCTACAACAAACTGAATACCATTCTATAGGGCTATAATGGTCAGTTTATAAATTAGCAGAATGCACAAAGGTATATAGTTGACTAGAAATGTTGTATCATGTATAGAGCTGTATTTGTGGAAATGTTTGAGGGGAGAGAACTGAATGAGCATCATCTGGTAACAAAGTGTACACTATAAAGAGCCTAAAGAGGGCTTGTGATTGACAGGCGCACTGAACACGCCCCCTTTCCTCCATGCCTACACTCTGCAGGCTGTACAGTGCATGGAAGCGATACGTTCTCCAAGCTGAGGCTGGGAAGTCTCTGCAGGTACTCGCTGCACTCTAAACTTCAGCAGCTTCCTCGGTGCTTTTCACCCTGAGCACGGAACTCCTCTCTGCTATCAGGGCTCGGCTGGCCGTACTTTAACGACCTGTCCCCTTTTTTCTGTCTTTGTTACAGCTTCCCCTTGGACACCCCTACTGAACTTTCTTTGCCGAGCTCCGCGACGAAGCGCTCAATGAGCCACCAGCGCAGACCACTGTAACTTCAGAAGAACGCGGGGGGGGCTAGGCTGCCCTTCACAGAGGACGGGGAGATGATCACTCGGTAAGTACGAAGTTGACCAAACTGTCATTGTGATAAGTCAGCTCCGAGGATTCCCCGGCCAAGGTGTAACGTTGTATTGTCTCTTGCCTTGTAGACTTTCCCTGCTGGTTCTTGCTGCCTGCTTTGCTGCGGACCTGGTACAAGCGGTGAGTACATTCAAGTGTATTCATCTCTGTGATATTTTCTGTCTTCTAGAACCAGCAAATGATTGTATTGCTGCTGACTTTCTCCTTTATTCTCTTGTTAAAGTTTCTGCTTAGGCTTAAGTCATACAGACAATTTTGTTTTGCTACTAATTGCAAACGCCAGTGATTGGCAGCTAGCAATTTAATCGCCAGTCGCTGATAAATTGTTTATTAAACGAGTGTTGCAGCATTGGGTTGTGCTCTGCTACAGGTCACCCTCCTATAGAGATTTGTAGCTAAGCCATAGAGGTGAATAAAGAGCGTTTGTCGCTAGCGATTTTGCCACTAATGCGAAACACATCTCAATCGAGATTGTAACAAATCGCTTTGAAAATGGAAGAGTTGATGACTTAAAAAAAGTTTTAAAAAAAGGGGGGATCACTGCGAATAAATTGCCATGTGACATCCGCCTCAGGTTTAGTAGAGTGTAAGTACACATTTGATATTTCTGTACATTCTTGTTTAATCCTTCCATTTATTAATAATAGTATGATGGTAACTGGGTGATGACATTTGTCTTCTGAATACATATAATGAGAGGAAAAGTCTTTTGAAGTTTATAATTGCTCTCTATATAAGCAGCATCAATATAACTAGCAAGTTTTATAATCAGTTAGTTGAATGCACAGACTGATTGCATTAAGAATAATGTTTTTGGAATCCATTATCACACATATAAAAACAATCCATCTACAATGTAAACAGACAGAAGGTAGATTTAACCCTTTGCCTATCCTTGTCTGTGTACAGTAACCAAATGTACATGTATACCGCTCTGCCACTGTAGGGTTATATTTTGCACGATTGCAATGACAGTCTAGTAGTGGATGTAAAGGGTTAATGTCATTAAGAGAGGGACGTTTTTCAGCCACCGCTACCATTATTGCCTCATTACAGCAGAAGTGTCTTTGGAACAAGCTGATGTTCTCTGTATGATTTATCAAATATAGGACTCATCAACAAAAATATAATGCACTTACTAACCTACACCTATTTACTATACTGACTGACTCAATGTCTGTTGACCATGCTACGTATGTATCTTGTCAATATCTATGTGTTAAGGTTTGTTAATACAACGCTGTTCATTTACAATGTTATGGACCAGTATTAAAGAGGGCAGCAGCTTGCTGTTTTCAGCTACATGTGTCTGGAAGTTTGAGCTCGGTCTAGTGACAGCACTCCAAGAGCTTCCAAAATATTGACCTTGGGTCAGAACTGTGCTGTTGGAAAATAGATATGGGCAAACCAAACACAGTGTGATGCATGGCTGACATAATCTGTTTATCTTGGACACTTTGCTTGATATATCAATTGGTAAACTACTTTCTAATGCAAGCAACTGTACACTAGTCTTCAGGGCGTACATTTTTCTTGTGTCTCCACTTATAACATAATCACAACAGTTAAGAAACAGGAATTACAAACACTGACATGTATATTCTCTTCCTTAGGCCTGGTTCACACCTAGGCGATTGCCATTGTTGAGCTGTTTTGTTGCACTGTTTTATGTGTGCGTTAAAGCTTTTAAAAACCACGCGATTTCTCAATGCATAGAGATGTCTATGGGACCAAAACAGTGCGACATCCGCCTAAAAATAGCTCCTGCATCTTTTTGCACGACAGGCGATATCGCACCCGCAACGCAACACTTAGATCGCCGTTGACTTGTATGGGTTTTGTGTTTTGCGTGTTATTTGCACGTCTGAATCCGCGCAACAAAACTCCTAGGGGTGAACCAGGCCTAATATTAATTCAACTTGAGCCTATATGTATAAGGCCAATTGCACACCTGGGCGATCCGTGACGATACCGCGTGTACTGCCGTGCGGTCACGGAGTCGGCCACCACCGACGATCTCGCTGTGAGTGCCATTATATAGCAATGGCAACCCAGTTGCGCCGGGCGGATCTCGCGGTTTCCTGCCACAATTCTGCCTGTGCAACCGAACAAGATCGCGGCTGGAGGAGCCACGCATTGTGTATTTTTCTGTGATTGACATGCAGATGTACCCCATTGAAATCAATGGGGCCGCGCGGCAATCGCTGTCTGCGATTGTGCACGATCGCGCGATCCCAGGACGCACGTCCCGGATCACTCAGGTCTGCACCGGCTCTTAAAGTGAAGTCTATATATATGTGTGTGTGTGTGTGTGTGTGTGTGTGTGTGAGAGAGACCAGTGCCAGAAGTATAGCAAGAATTATACTATCCAGCCTGACCATACATCAGTAGATTGTTTTCTTGTTCCCGTGGGCTAATTGAGAAAAAACTCTTGACTCCTCCATTCAATCTAAAAAGCGTGGAAAGGGGAATCTCCCCCACTGGGTTATTGTAGTCTGACAGCCGGCATATGAATACCTAGCCCAGGGGTAGGCAACCTCCCCACTTCAGCTGTGGTAAACCTACAAATCCCATCATGCCTTTGGGACGCATGCCTATAGCTCTTAGAGTCTTGCAATGCCTCATGTGATATGTAGTTCCATAAAAGCTGGAGTACTGAGGTTGCCTACCTCTGACCTAGACAGTCACTGCAGCTGATTGGCTGCAGTCACTGTTCAGTCAACAATTTTGTGGCCGGGTTGCTTTGACAAAAGTCAATTGGAAAATTGACTTTTGTTGAAAGGAGGGGTGCTGATAGGACCACAAACTGGTCGAATTTTGGCCAAGTTAACAGGTTGAAATTTGCACAGTGTATGCCCATCTTTAGTAAATTTGCAGTCTTTGATATATGCTAGTGGAACATTTATAGAACCCACACAGTCTGAGTAAGAACTTTAAGCTTCGGCAATAGTTTTATTCCCATATTTAGAAATATTGGGATTTTCAATTATTCCGAGCTTTCATTTTTGACAGGCGTCAGGGCTGGCTCACACTTTGGAAATGCAATCAGTTTACGTGTTTTCCAGGCAGAGAGAATATGTTGTGTATTAAAGTACATGAAAAATGCATGTATGGTGTTATATTCATGCTTTTTACGTGTAGTCCCATTCATTGTTATGTAGACAGCATGTTATCAAGATGCATGAACTTGCTGCATGAACTGGATAAAAATGCAGAAATGTGCACAGTCCCACTTACAATAACAGCACAAATCTCAGAATTGTGTGTGCAGTTTCTTATGTATTGAAAGCAACCCCCGTCAGTTGCCTAAAACATATATAAATGGCTGTTCCTTGAAGTAGAAGATGTGGTCCATGTCTGCTTCCTTTGCTTCATTCAAATGTTGCAGCCTTCATCAGACACTTCAGTATTCAACACTCTCAGGAATGGAATGCCAGATGCCTGTGTCCCCTGCTGTGCATTCTGGTTCCATCCTCCGACCCCTACGTCACCTCAGGGCACTGCAATGACATAAGGGTCAGGAGATGGAACCACAACTTGTAGTGGGGGGCACAGGCATCAGACACTTCTGGAAGTGTTGAATGTTAAAGGGGGAGTATATTAGCTTCTCTGCTGCAGGAGGTTGTCATTATATACTACACGGCCAGATTTATATGGATGGATATATGCTATGTTTGTCTGTGACTGTTTGAGTCTGAATCTATCATAGAAAGTCATCTAGGCACCACAGGTAGCCCAGTGGCTCAGTGATTAGCACTTCTGCCTTGCATCCCTGAGGGTCCCTGAATCAAATCATGGCACTATCTGCATGGAGTTTGCATGTCCTCCCTGTGCTTGTGAGTTTTGGCAAGGTACTCTGGTTTCCTTCCACACTCCAAAGACATACTGGAAGGTTAATTTACTTTTGTTAAAATTGGCCCTATATGTGAGATAGGGACCTTAGATTGTAAGCTCTTTGAGGGCAGGGACTGATGTGAATGTGCAGTATGTAAAGCGCTGTGTAAAATTGTCAGCACTATATAAATACCTGTAATAAATAAGTAGGGATCACAGATCCATATGTTATCTTTCATCTACTTATTCAATGGAAAACACAGGTAAATCTTAAACATAGTATAAATGGTTAAAATTTGTAGAAGCATTTCTCTGACTTATTGCTAATATGGCCTGTGTACTGTACGTATGTACTTATAAGACATATTGATCCCTGTGACAAGCAAAATGAAATGCAATATTTTGAAGAAGATATATAGACAAATTGTATATTCCTTACGTTGCCCAAAGCTTTGGGCAAGATTTAAGGGCTTGTGTGGTTTATGTGAAGTGAACTTGTGTTTTTCCAATGCAGGTTATAGCATCAGGATAACTTTAATTTTGCTTTCCATAGCTGCTTTTAGTTACCTTCCCTTCACCACCCGCCATTGCATTTTCCAATGGAAGTTAAAGAAGAAGCCCTGTGTGAGCCCTGTGTAAGCTCTCCTGTGTGGAGCTTACACAAGTCGGAGGACTCTATCCCCTCCCACATGTATCAGCACTGGGTGCCTGAGCAGCAAGTTATCAAGTCCTAGCAGCTGCAGGATCAGGCATTAAAGCGAACCTATTATTTTCCCTTGTATGGAGTGTCTGGATGAAGAGGTGAGCACCCAGAAGCCTTCCAGAGGGAGGAATTAGGTAAGCATTAAAGCTTATTCCTTTACCCCTAGACTTAAAGTGACACTAAACTCAAGAGTTACTTCCAAAAAATGCATTCAAGTACCTTAACTATTAACAAAATGTGTCTTTGTGTAACACTTGGCTGTAGATCCTCAAATCATCTCTGAATTGGTGCTGACACTGTCCTTCCTTCTGGAGGGGGGCTACTTTAGTTCCCCATGGTCCCTGTGTGTGCTGTAAAGTAGCCACCACTCCAAGCTCACTCCCATGATGTACTACAATCTCATGATTAGTTTACTCATTTGTATTGAGATTATAGTCCATCACGGGAGCGATGGTTGGATGAATAACCCCTTCCGGGCTATTGTATTCGCCACTATCAAAATACCTGAAAAGTGACCTCTGCTGATTGGTTGAAGTCACTATTTGGCCAACAATTTTCAGCTCAGCTCCTTCGATAAAAGTTG